TGGACAAGAATCAAGAACAATTGGACGGATTTTGGAAATCTTTTTTTTTTTTAAACGGATTTTCAAAATCTGTTTTTTAATTTTTATTTTTTTAGATCAGATTGTGAAATTCGGGTTCTTTAGGGCTCGTCTGAACTCGGAATTGAGTTCTTTTTTTTCTACATGTCTCCAACGAAGGCTTCTACGTATTTATGCTTTCGAATCTAATTTATTCTTGAAAACCTATTCTCCCAAAGCTCTTGACCTGAAGTTGGCAGCTTCCATGCACACTTCGTATATCGAGCCCGTTCGGACTCGTCCGAACTCGAAATTGAGTTTCGATTCTTCATACATATCGCCAACGAATCCTACTACTAGAGCATGCTTTTATGACCAATTTTCAGGCTGGAACTATTCCTTGCGGGGCTTCCGGCAAAAAACGGGGAAAAAGAATAAATAAAACGAAGAAAACTAGCAAAATTCGGGCTCGTTTGGGCTCGTCCGAACTCGAATTGAATTCCGTTTTTTTTCGTACATGTCGCCAACAAAGCCTTCTGTATAATTATGCTTTCAAATCCAACCTGTTCATGAAAACCTATTATCCCAAAGCTCTTGACCTGAAGTTGGCAGCTTTCTTGCACGACTTCGCATATCGGGACCGTTAGGACTCGTTCGAACTCGAAATTGAGTATCAATTCTTTCTGCATGTCGCCAACGAATCCTACTACTAGAGAATGCTTTTCTGACCAATTTTATGGCTGGAACTATTCCTTGCGGGGCTTCCGGCCTAAAACGGGGGAAAAGAATAAATAAAAAAAGACTAGCAAAATTCAGGCTCGTTTGGGCTCGTCCGAACTCGAAATTGAATTCCGTTTTTTCCTACATGTCGCCAACGAAGCCTTCTATGTAATTATGCTTTCAAATCCAACCTATTCTTGAAAACCTATTATCTCAAAGCTCTTGACCTGAAGTTGGCGGCTTTATTGCACGACTTCGCATATCGGGACCGTTAGGACTCGTTCGAACTCGAAATTGAGTTTGATTCTTCCTACATGTCGCCAACAAATCCTACTACTAGAGAATGCTTTTCTGACCAATTTTCGGGCTGGAAATATTCCTTGCGGGGCTTCCGGCCTAAAATGGGGAAAGGAATAAAAAAACGAAAAAGACTAGCAAAATTCAGGCTCGTTTGGGCTCGTCCGAACTCGAAATTGAATTCCGTTTTTTTCCTACATGTCGTCAATAAAGACTTCTATATAATTATGCTTTTAAATCCAACCCATTCTTGAAAACCTATTATCTCAAAGCTCTTGACCTGAAGTTTGTGGCTTTCTTGCACGACTTCGCATATCGGGACCGTTCGGACTTATCCGAACTCGAAATTGAGTTTCGATTCTTCCTACATGTCGCCAACGAATCCTACTACTTTAACATGCTTTTACGGCAAATTTTTAGGCTGAAAATATCTATTGCGGGACTTCCGACCTAAAACGGGGGAAAACAAAAGGAAAAACAAAAAAGAAACTAGCAAAATTGTACTAATTTGAGTTCAATTGGACTAATTCGAGTTCTATTACACTATAATTGAGTGTAACAGAACTCGAATTAGTCCAATCAAAGTCAAATTAGTATAATCGAACTCGATTTAGTCCAATCACGTTCAATTATAGTGTAATCGAACTAGAATTAGTCCAGTCGAAGTAAAATTACTATAATCAAAGTCAAATTAGTATAATCGAAATCAAATTAGTCTAATCGAAGTCAAATTAGTCCAATCGAACTCGAATTATTCCAATCGAAATCAAATTAGTACAATCGAAGTCAAATTAGTACAATTGAAGTTAAATTAGTACAATTGAAGTCAAATTAGTACAATCGAAATCAAATTAGTCCAATCGAAGTCAAATTAGTCCAATCAAACTCGAATTAGTCCAATCAAAGTCAAATTAGTATAAGAGAACTCGAATTAGTCCAATCACGGTCAATTATAGTGTAATCGAACTCAAATTAGTCCAATCAAAGTCAAATTACTATAATCGAAGTCAAATTAGTATAATCGAAATCAAATTAGTCCAATCGTAGTCAAATTAGTCCAATCGAACTCGAATTAGTGCAATGGAAATCAAATTAGTACAGTCGAAGTCAAATTAGTCCAATCGAAGTCAAATTAGCACAACCGAAGTCAAATTAGTACAATCGAAATCAAATTAGTCCAATCGAAGTCAAATTAGTCCAATCGAACTCGAATTAGTCCAATCACGGTCAATTATAGTGTAATCAAACTTGAATTAGTCCAATCACGTTCAATTATAGTGTAACTGAACTAGAATTAGTCCAATCGAACTCGAATTATTCCAATTGAAATCAAATTAGTACAATCGAAGTCAAATTAGTACAATCGAAGTCAAATTAGTACAAGCGAAGTCAAATTAGTACAATCGAAATCAAATTAGTCCAATCGAAGTCAAATTACTCCAATCGAACTCGAATTAGTCCAATCAAAGTCAAATTAGTATAATCGAACTCGAATTAGTCTAATCACGGTCAATTATAGTGTAATCGAACTCGAATTAGTCCAATCGAAGTCAAATTACTATAATCGAAGTCAAATTACTATAATCGAAATCAAATTAGTCCAATCGTAGTCAAATTAGTCCAATCGAACTCGAATTAGTCAAATGGAAATCAAATTAGTACAGTCGAAGTCAAATTAGTCCAATCGAAGTCAAATTAGCACAACCGAAGTCAAATTAGTACAATCAAAATCAAATTAGTCCAATCGAAGTCAAATTAGTCCAATCGAACTCGAATTAGTCCAATCACGATCAATTATAGTGTAATCAAACTTGAATTAGTCCAATCACGTTCAATTATAGTGTAACTGAACTAGAATTAGTCCAATCGAAGTGAAATTACTATAATCGAAGTCAAATTAGTATAATCAAAATCAAATTAGTCCAATCGAAGTCAAATTAGTCCAATCAAACTCGAATTAGTCCAATCGAAATCAAATTAGTACAATCAAAGTCAAATTAGTCCAATCGAAGTCAAATTAGTACAATCGAAGTCAAATTAGTACAATCAAAGTCATTCTAGTCCAATCGAAGTCGAATTAGTACAATCGAAGTCAAATTAGTACAATCGAAGTCAAATTAGTCCAATCGAAGTCAAATTAGTACAATCAAAGTCAAATTGGTACAATCGAAGTCAAATTAATAGAATCAAATTCAAATTAGTACAATCGAAGTCAAATTACTATAATCGAAGTTGATAGGTCGAAAAATGTGCACGTTTTATATATTTAATAGTGTATTTTTATACACTTAACTTATTCGCACATTTATATTTTTTAACTTATTTATTATTTGGATGGATTAATACACATTGATATTTTTATATTTATTTTCAGCTCGTTGGAGTATTTTTTGGACGCAAAGCATGGGACGGAAATTCATGTAATCAATTATCGAGAGTCCGATACCCGTTAATTTGGCCCGCGGTTGAACATTAAAGTTAGGCCCAATATTGCTAGAAGAGAATTATTTTCCCAAGGCAGCAAAATACACGCAGCCCAAGGAATTATTTGCTGGAGACTCCTTTTCACGCAGAAAACCTGGGGATTTATTTGCGGGGAGATCATTACGCCTAAAAGGGAAGAAAAAAAGAACGGAACAGAGAACGGGGCCGCAGAGCGCACCTACAGCTGCACGCACGGGAGAAGAAAGGAGGCTACACACGCGGAGGGAAGCCGCACCCACACACGAGGGAGATAGATTTTCTCTCTTTTATCTATTACTTATTTTTAGTAGCATGTTATGCTAGTAGTTTTATCCAGTTTTAGGGGATGTTTGAACCCTAACTTCGATTTGTCTATGAATTGAAGGATTTATTTTTATCGTTGGTTAATTGAGACGCTGTATTTACTTTGTTGATGAGTTGATTCATGCTATCTGTGTTTAATGTTTATGAATTATGGTGTTTGATTTAGTCTGGCCAGCTACGTTAAATATTCATAGTTTAATTGCTAGATTCGAGACTTTAATCCGTAATTGTTATTGTCTCGTTTCGTGAGTAGTAAACTAGGGGTCGTGCATCCTTAGGGTAACATGAGCATAACTTAAATGGTCCGAGCTTACGCGTCCATTGCTTAGACTGATCTATTTTCCTAGTAATTAATGCTGCTAGTGCATTAAATCTAGAGAGCTTATTCTAGGTTGTCCGCTAGTTAGGTTTAGTCGAAGAGCTTATTTCGATTAAATATTCTGTAAGGGAAAATTCAGTTAACAGAGCTTGTTGTTAGCTAGGGTCAGTAATTCATTAGCAATTTAAAGAAAGCGTCGAAATTGATTAACGGTAAATTTAGATTGGGTGATAACTGAACCGAAAACTGGACTTCTCTTATTTTATTTGGTTTTGTTTTATTTTATTATATTTATTTTTATCAAAACAATCCCCCCATTTACCGCTTTCGTAGTTTAGTTCGATTAATACAAAAAAAAATTGTCACAACTTAGTTCCTGCTCCTCGTGGGATCGACCCTTGCTCGCCACTACTACTAGTTAGTAGAGGTTAGTTGAGGAAACTTTTATAAATTTAAATTTGCCGCGTTGCGACGCGCGGTCAGAAGTCAAATTAGTATAATCAAAGTCAATTATACGAAAATCGAAGTCGAATTAGTCCACTCGAAGTAAATTACTATAATCGAAATCGAATTAGTCCAATCGAAGTCAAATTAGTACAATCGAAGTCAAATTAGTACAATCGAAATCAAATTAGTCCAACACGTCAGATTATCACTCAAACTCCTCGCTGTCACTGCTGGCAGACCAGACAAATCCAGTCAACAACCTTTTTCACTCTCCTTAAATTTCCGTACTTACTACAACACCCCCCCACCCTATAAAATTACCGCCGACAACCAAAATGCAAACACACACACTAAAACAAAAAAAAAATAAGATTTATAAAAAACAAAAAAAAAAACATTTTCGCATAAACTTAATTCCTAACATATTCCTATAATGGACGACACTCCACTCGACCAACTGCCGCCGGAAATCCTCCTCCTCGTCTTCCTCCGCCTCCCTCTCCGCCACATCGCCGTCAGCCATTGCGTCTGTCGCTCCCTCTGCGCCACCCTCTCATCTCCCCACTTCCTCCGCCTCCTCTCCCTCCAACGCCTCCTCCTCCTCACTCTCTGTCCCTCCTTCCCCTCCCCGATTCCCTATGCTTACGACCCGGACTCTGATCGGTGGCTCCACCTCTCCCTCTCCTTCCTCCCCTTCGTCGGTCGCCGCCACGTTATCGCTGCCTCCCACGGCCGCGTCTACCTTTGGGCCGCCTCCACCTCCGACGATGAGGAGGAGGAGAAGCAAAGCTCTCCGAAAGCCCTTGTCGTGTGTAACCCCCTAACTGGTTGGTTCGTAACCCTCCCGAAACTCGGCTCCGTGTGGGCCCACCATGGCTCTGTCATTTGTGGCCCAGACGGAAGCGTCCTCCTTCTCACCGACCTCGCCGTTATGTACTCGCGGCGTGGCGGTGCATGGAGAAATTTCTCGTCCGAATTACCCACCATGCCGCGGACGCCCGTGATAATTTCTGATTCGATCCTACTGTTGTGCAACCTAGGGGCGATATGGAGGCCGCGGTGGGCCATATACTCGGGCTCACTCCAGAAGCGGAGGACGAGCATCCCGTGGACCCGACTCGAGGGGAAAGAGTGGGACAAGATTTTTGCATTTTTAAAGTGTCCGAGTCTTGTGCAAACGGGAGATGATAGGGGCATGTATGTAGTGGGAGGTTTGATGAGCTCAAACATGCAGTCGAGTGTGTGCCTCACGATTGTGATCATTAGGTTTGATTTGGAGACGATGTGGTTGAAGCGTGAGGCGCATATGCCGACGAGCATGTTCAAGTATTTCAAGACGTGTGGGAAGTATAAGGTGTTCGGAGGGGGGAATAGGGTGTGCTTCTCAGCGTATGGGATTGGAAAAATGGCCGTGTGGGAGGGGAGTGAGACGGGGAAGTGGGGGTGGGTGGACTCCGTGCCGGTGGATGACGAGGAGGAAGGGGCATGGCCGTATTTCATGTTGGATGATGATCTTGATTGTTTGTTGTGATTCGGACGAGGATTGGTGAAGTATTAGGGTTGTTAGTGTTGTTTTTAGTTGTCCTTGCATTTCCTTCTTGAGTTTCTTTTAAAGTAACAGGAGTGCGTATGGATTGAATTGTAAGGATTCGTTGAGTATTAGGGTTGTTAGTGTTGTTTTTAGTTGTCTTTGCATTTCCTCGAGTTTCATTTGAAGTAGCATGATGTGTCTTTTATTTTGATTTCCTTCTTGAATTTCTTTTGAAGTGTCATGGTGTGTAAGGATTAAAGCCATGAGTCGACAATTTAGCTTTATTCAGGGTAATAATTACAGCGGCAAATTTGAATCTTAAAATCATTTTAGACTAAATGAGAAATTATTATTTTTATAGTTAAAATGTAGCGAACGTGAATTTATGTAACTTAAAATTGAGTTTAAATATCTCGGATTCGCAAATGTTTTTTTTATGAATGCTTGGGCACGTCATTCGAGCCATTGCAAAATCAAGGTCATAAAGTTGAGCGATGGATGTTGTACCATACGTGACATCTGACATTTGAACAGATTTGACTCTATTCAAGGTAATAAGTACAACGATGAATGCTCCACAAAATGTGAAAGCTGTCGGTTAAATAAATTTACCATATTCCGGACATGAACGTTGGAAGCTTAGCATTCTTATTGTATTTAAGTAATAAAGTAGAGATATGGATGCTCTACCAAACGGAAAGTTAGTGGTTGAACAAGCTGGCTTTATTCGAGTAATAAGCAGAAAGACA